GCAAGTTTAGACCCTATTGGACTGGTCCTTATATCATCAAAGCTATCTAGTCGGGTGGAGCTGTTATTCTCATGGACCTGGATGGCTTGGAATTTTCACAACCGATCAACATGGACAAGTTGAAGAAATACTATCCCTGAGAGGCTCGCTAGGCCGAAAACCCAAAAGGACGACCTAGGCAAAAGTTAGAGCATCAAAAATTAAAAATAAAGAAAAACTAAGCTCGCAAGGTTAAAAACCCTAAAAGGCAACTTTGGCAAAAGTTGGAGTGCAAAAGAAGAGAGTTAATACTCGAGTGAACCTGAACCGAACTACGTAAGGCTTGATTCCCATCTTCGAGATATATAGGCAACTTCATCCTGAAGTTCGGCCGTAATCACCTCTAACTCAACTGTCTTGTCCATGTGTTTGATCAGGTCATCTTTGTATGTTCTTTACCTGAGGGTTTGGTTGTGATCTTTACTCGGAGAGAAAAACTAGTTAGAATGCAAAGTAGTGTATTCACTCAAGGGGCAATTATGATCTTTTGATTTGGGGTTGTACATCTTAAGGATTGATTCCATGCGTGTCAGGTGGTGATCTTTTTCGTAAATGGTTTTGGAAAGTTTTAATAAAAGTTGATTTTGTTCAAATTTTACCTTTTACAACTTAGACCATTTTTGGACGAAAAGGAAAATTTTCAGTGCTCACAACTTTAATGTCATTGATTTCAACTTAAAATTCTCCAATTCTCTAATACAAATCAAAGTTTCTTTTATTACATTGAAAAACATGAAAAGAAAGGTGAAAGCAATAAACTAAGGGCACAGATGACTTAAGTGCTCCTGCATCCTCTGCTCGTACTTGTGGAAGCTTCTAAAGCCAAAGTGGGCCCGGTTTGTGCCTCATCCTCGAGCCAAGCCAAGCATTCGCCAGAAAGGATGCAACTAAAACTAGGGGCAAAGGCCAGAAGCTCTCTTGTCCTTCAAGCAGTGAGGTACCTAGCCAAATGTGAACCTCGGATGGAGAATGAAACCAGGAATTCTACCCCCTCCTCTAGGCAGGTTAGATCATGCCCAAACTGATGTCTGAACCGAAAAGGAAAGTAGATCACACAGTGCGTAAGGCCGATCAACTGTATGCCTGGCTGCCGAGCCATGCTGTAACTCATCTCGGTCAGGTTAAGCTAGGGGCAACGCCAAGCTATGTCGGTAACAGACCTATTGCACATCTAGTTGCACCACCATCCCTAATTCGGGAAATCAACTAGTCGGTGGTGAAAAAAATAACCTTGAGCTGAGTACTCAGGGCAAGAGTACACTACCTTCAGCTTATCCATAAGCCACACCTAAGAAGGGATGAGAGAAAAAGAGAGATTAAAGAATAGAGAGATGTATGTTGAGAGAAAAGTGAAAAATGGGGCTTTGAGAGAAAAATAGAGCATGAGTGCCAAGTGATGTGAGAAACACATATGAGAAAGGGTGGAACAATACCTGAAGAAGTACTGGGCTCCCCACGAATTTGGTAGTCTCTATCCGATGGAAGGCGTCTAAACCCATTAAGGTCTTGGCCAGCACCAAACTAATACAACTCTTGCCTTCTTTGAGACCTCGGGCCACTTCAATCAACTGAATGTTGGACCCATTGAAACTAGAGACAAGAAGGAAATACGCAAGCATACATAAACAAAGGGCATGTTGCTGAAAACCTCACCAGAGAAGGTCGCCTCAGTCATCGATATCAGAAAATCGATGAATCAAGCTGGGTATGTCCAGCTCTTCGTTGTGGGCCAGAGATTGAGCTTTGTATAAAGTGAGACCACACATTCGTCCCAAAGCTTGGGTGTGGCCAAAACGGGACTGAGGCATGATTTTCTCATTGCGCCGGAATTTCATGAGTGTTTGAAATTCTTCAATTGTCGGGTATATTTCTTGTCTTCCAAAGCTAAAAACGTATGTTATCAGGTCCCAACATCGAGCCACGGCATAGAGGAACGAAAAACAAAGTGGAGTATGGCTCAATGGAAAAAGTGCATTTATGCCAAAACCCTAAAAATTTACCTTTTCTGTGCCTTCTAAATTCGTTATCCAATCCGAGAGCTTTTCGGCAAAAAATGGCTCCATTTGTGGAAGAAATTACAATTTAAATGAAGTTCAGGAGAAGAAAACACGAAGTTGAACCTTTTGTAGAAGACAAGGCTATGAGTGGAAGCCAGCTGTCAGCAATCAGGCGATTCTCACATTTGTGGCCGGCAGGCTAGCCACCTCTTGTGGCCGGTAGGCCACCCTTGATGGCCGACAAGCTCTATCTCTGGCCGGTGCTCATGCAATGAAATTGCTTGACTTGGTAGTTTGTGGCTTAAGTTTACTTCTCCTTTGATTTGTTCATGATAAGGAGGGGGGAATTGTGCAAACAACCCTTGAGAATATCCTGTGCATGCTCTGTCTGTCCTCTGTTGCAGCAAGATGAACCTGTGCAGCAGTGGCCGGTAGGCCACTTTTCATGGCCGGTAGGCCACCAATGCAAAATTTAGCAGTGTGTTTTTGGGGCAGAACAGAGTTATTCTGGAAGTGGGCAACAGTGTAAGTGTTCTCTGTGCAACAGAGGCTCTCCAGAAACAAAACAGTGGCCTTTTCAGGTGAAAACCGAGCATGCACATGACCATCCCTCGCTTCCCGAGGCGAAGTAGTTAGCTTAGTACTTAATTGTTTACCTTAATTACTTCTTTTAATTGCACTTGTGTTGTAATTATTTAATTAGTTATAGTTAACTAGTTGTGATGTTGTAATCATTAATTAACTAGAATAGTTAGTTAATTCATATGTTGTTGTCATAATTAAGTAGCTTAGCTAGTTTATTCATTTTGTTTTGTAATAGTTAATTAGCTTACCTTAGTTGAGCTTAGCTAGTTAGTTTATTCAGACTCTCATTTGTGAGAGCGTATTATAAAACACCCTACGTCTTTCTCCCTTTTATTTACTAGCTTATGATGGTTAGTTTAGGGACATCATGTTTTGCTTAGCATACTTCATGTTTGCATCCATTTGTATTCCATGCACCGGGGCTCGGTTTATCATTCTAATGGCATCGTTATTGCTTAATACTTCTTTGAATACGTGCTTAGACCGCATGCTATCAATTTGTTTCATATGCCATGTTAAGTAGCCAGGCCTATTCAGATTGCATATTGTATGTGTTGCATTAGTCATATTGCATAGTTAGGAATCATGCATTTTTTCTAAACTCTTTTGTTTATTTTGGCTTGGAGTATTAGGTGAGCCTTTACTCGCTTTAACATAATTGCATGAGTGTGATTGTTGTCATGTCTAACATGTATGCCATGAGGCTAACTGCTTAAGTGTTATAACCGTTTCAATACCTATGGATGATGGTTTATTGCTTGAATTGGAATAATTTGAGTAATATTCATATGCGATCACTTTTTCAAGTGGTACATATTCAAAAGAATTTTCAAAAAACAAACATGAATCATGTGTTCCAATTCTTGGAAGTTAGTCTATACTTTTGTGTGTGCGCATCACATAGTAATGCTAGCCTAATAAACCAGAACAAGAGCATATAATGTAGATAATATTCATATCATGATTAGTAGAGGCCAATCTTTGATCGGGCGAGTGAGGGTGCTCAATTCATTCATGACCTTCCCCTCTCGTACCTAAGTTTCCGAGCCGAGACAATCTTGATGACGACGGACACGTGGCCTTCAGCACGAGTCATTGGTTTTCTAAATTTCCCCAAAACAAAAATATATAGGTAACGACTCTGTATCTGGCAAAGCAGTCCATTTTTTGCATTTTGATTCAAAATTGATTTTCTAAAAGATTTGCCGAATTTGGACTTTTTGGTGTTTATCCATTTCGCATTGCACTTATGAGATCAGATTCAAGACCGCAGGAGTCCAATACTGTAGGGCTTATTTCGACTTCCGAAAAGGGGCGCGAAAAAGTAGAGCTACAGGAACTCATGCACCAAAGTTGGCGGGTCTGTGTGGCAACGCGTTTGTTGCCGTGTAACAATTCACCTCGTATATTTGGTTGCTCAAAACCATTATCGGGTGAATGGGAAATCAATGACAAAATGAGCTCCATGGAAATGGTGTTTTGGTGTGGTTTCCATAAGGGATGGATAAAAGGTTGTCCCACGTTGTTTGAGTGGGCAAACTTGGTGTGAGTTTATAAGCCTTGAGTTTGTATCTTGGGAAGGTACCCAAGTTTTGTGGAGAGAGAACTTATGGGGAAAGTGGGCCTTGACCCATTCGATCCAAAAACTATCTCACACCAACGCGAGCGTCGTCGCCACCAACCCGGACTGAACAGGACCAGGTTTCGGTGCGGGTGCGAGGTGAGAGGTTGGGTTGGACTTGTGTAGTCCAATACTTATCTTTTTAGGTCAAAACATTTGAATTTTTTTTTTTAAATTAAATTCTTACCGTTTGGAATTTGAATTTCGGTTTGAAATTCAAACTTAATTCCGAAATGGCCCCAACGTTTCTGAACGTTGGCAGTTTGGTCCATTGCACCTTTTTAGCTTTTTCCCTCCAACTCGAACAGGCTCTTGCCTGTTCAAGTTTGTTCTGAATAAGTTATTTGCCTGTTCAAGTCTATCCTGAATAGCCACCACTTATCCTATAAATAGACAAGTCCTCCATTTGGTTTTTCAATCAATTTTTTGTTATTCTTTTTTCTTCTGCTTCCTGCATCTTGCTGCATTTATTTTCTGTGATAAAAAGTATAAACATAAAGTGTACTCGCTGGACATTTAGTTTGTAGTGTTGCTACTAATTGTCGTCAATCATTTTATCTTGAGAGATAGATGTCCACATTCTGAAAACACCGTGGAGAGAACGAATCTGTCTTAAAGAGATAGTGTTGAACGCTGGACTTGATTGAATATCGGGAAAAGTAATATTGTAAGTAGTTTATTTATAATTTTCATTTCTGGTTTCATTTTTTTTTTTTTAGATTCTATTTTTTTTTCTTGTAACAAAATAAAAATCTGATTTTTTATATTTTATTTTCTTTATTCTATTTTGATTTAATAATCAAACAGAATTTGTTCTTCCTTAATCTATTCTTCGAATACAGTGAAAATTGGCAAACAATCTAACAAATTGTACCACTAAAGAAGTTGTTACTTGCACTGAACGCGATTAAATGTTTCAAAGATGACAACCCAGATGGGAGTTGACCTGAAAACTTGTTGTTACTGATATCGAGTCGCCTTAAACTCGGTGCCAGTGTCCTTGGAAGCTGACCGGTAAATAAGTTGTCGCTTAGCATCAAGATTGTCAGATTGGATGATGTCCAGAGACCTGCTGGAATGCTACCGGAAAGGCGATTACCGTGAACCCGAACAATCAACAAACTTGAACAATTCCCAAGTGAATTAGGCAATTCACCGGTGAGATTGTTATCAAATGCCACCACTCCTAATAGTTCACCATTAGCACACAAGTGCTCTGGCAACTTGCCAGTGAAATGGTTCGAGGGTATTTCAAACCCCCGGAGCTTCGAATATCGCCCAAAGTCTGGTGGCAATGTTCCAGAGAGATTGTTGTTGAACAATTTTACATCTCTCAGTGAAGGAAGGCGGCCAATGGTTTCTGGTATTTCACCAGAGAGTTGATTCTCAAACAGAGCCAAAACCGACAACATTGTTAGTTTGCCAAAATCAGCCGGTATTGTTTCGTTCAAGTTGTTTTGGGATAAATCAATTATCTGCATCTTCAAAGCTTCAATGGGCCAAGGAATCGCCCCGGACAAGTGATTTTTGTACAGATACAACTTTGTTAAATTCTTTAGCAGAAACAAACCACTTGGGATTGTACCAGTCAATTTATTGTTTGACAAGTCCAATTCCTCGAGCTCTGTTAAATTCCCGATTGTTACCGGGATTTCACCGATCAAACTTGAATCTTTGATCCATAGTTGTTTAAGTTTCCTCAACTGGGTAAAGCTCGACGGTATTGCCATCAGCAGAAATGCATTGTCGGACAGCTCCAACATCTCAAGATTTGACAGGTTTCCAATTTCTGGCGGGAAAGAGCCGTTTAGCTCATTTTGAAAAAACCGAAGGACTCTGAGCTCGTGGAACCGCCCGATAGCCAGGGGGATGTCACCGGTGAAGTTGTTGCCGTTGAGGTTGAGGACCCGGAGCCTGGTCGACAGCCGGTCAACGTCGCCAGGAATGCGGCCTACAAAGAAGTTTAGGGAGAGGTCTAAATGTTTCAGCTTGGAACAGTTGTAGAGAACGGTAGGAAATGGTCCTGGGATGTAATTGTAGTGGAAATCGATGACGGTGAGGTTTTTGAGGTCACAAATGAACTGTGGGATTGTCACGGCGATGGTTTTGTTAGGGAGAGAAAGTCCGGTGACAGAGTCGTTGGTGCAGGTGATCTCGGGCCAGTTACAGTGTGTCGATGAGTTGGAGTCGGGAAATTTTGGTGGAGTCCAGTGGCTGATGGAAGGTGGATTGTACCAGTGTTGTTTAAGTCTCAACAGAATTATTTGTTCTGAATCAGTAGTAGATTGGGTGTTTCCATGCAAGGGTAGGGTGAGGAGTAGGAGGGAGAATATGCAGATAAGGATTTGGAGGGAAATTGTTGCGGTTATTTTGGACATTTTAGAGGTTGGTTTCGCGGGGGTTTTTCGGTGGTACATAGTTTGGAAGTTCAGGTTTGGAGTGATGGTGAGAGGGTCGTGTTCGGCAGGCAGATGTTGAAAATTTCAAGCTGGTGGCTGGGTTTTATAATGTGAAGAGTCCAAGTTTCCTCAATCCTCAATCAATGGTTAACGAGGGAAAGAAACTTGCACTCGAAACAGCCAAGAACCAACTAATTTATTTTTTTTATTTTTTTTATGATAGAGGGTCCAAGTCAGTTAAACACATTTTGACTAATTTCAAGGCGTACGAAAAATAAAACAAGTTTGGGGCAGAGTGTGTAGGCATGATCCAAAAAAATAAATTGCGCCTAATAAAAGTTGACCGGAAGCCCTTGATTAACTTTTACATTTTATTAGTAGTTGTTTGGAACGTGGTATATAAGTGTATTTTTTGATTTTTTTAATTAAAAAAATAGGAAAAAAAAATATATGTTTAGAATAATTTTTTAATTTTTTAAGAAAAGATGAGTAATAAAATATTATAATAAAATTAAAATAATAATTTTATCATTTTGACTTTTTGACTTTTAATTAGATAGTTGAATTCAAAGGAAAAAATAATAATTTTGCACTAGTGACTTCCTCCATAAACCACCCTTAAATAGTACAGACTTTTTAACTTTTTGTGTACGTTTAAGTAGACCTAAAAAAGATAAAAAATCAAAAAATTATTACAAAAGTCAAAAAATTTATACTATTTACATTTTTATTTTTTTTACGGAAAACTACAATGCTGATCAGACGCCAAAAAGACCGAAATGGTCCTGTTTTTGTCCACAAATTCAAAGTCAAAAGTGTGGACAAGCCACCTGTACATAAAATTTACAAAAAAGCACTTTGTATATATCTTCTCTGGAGCCCCCACCACACATTGCATGCACAAGCCGTGCTCGTCTTGTCACGTGACGCAGAGTCAGTATCAATATTTGCACATTTATTACAATATTATAATACATATTTCTCCTAAAAAAATAAAAAATTATTTCAATTTTTTTTTTCTGAACTTTTTTTAATCAAAAAATTAAAAAAATATATTTATATAGACCATCACAAACGATTCCTAATAAATTTTTAACTTTTAAATTTTTTTTTTAATTTATACCAAACAAGATTTTAATTCTCAAAATACACACCTTCCTTTTCCGTCTACCTTTTCCTGGGAGTCCTTTTTTAACGAATGATTTTATAATTGATTATAATATTTTTTTTATTGTATATTGTTTAGCATCTCATTGCATTTCGGTCCTGTTTGGTAGGGCTTATTTCTATTTTATTTTAACTTTTAGCTTAATTTAAACTATTTTGATGTGTTTGATTCAGCTTAACAATACATCTTATATCTTTTTGTAAGTCAAAAATCAACTTATTCTTTAAGTGGAGGAGGAGAAGCTTAATTTATAAGTCAAAAATCAGCTTATATTCACAGTTATAAGTTATAAGGTGTTAAGTTATAAATTATAATCACTTTTTCCACAGCTCTACCAAATGGAGCCGTCGAGGAGATTAACTTCTGTGTAGATATGAATTGGAGAGGTATCTGTGTATATATTATTTATAAAAATAAAATTAAAAAAATTGATCGATTAGATATTTATAACATATTTATTTTATCTCGTTTTAAAAATTCATTTGCCATTCATTTTTTTTTTTTTATAAACAAACATAGTAAATAAAAATGTTAAAATTGTCGGATTGATCTATTTTTTTTTTATAAATAATATATACACAAAAAACCTTAAATAATGAAGAATTTAAATTATGAAAATTGAGTCTAGATAGCGTCCACATCTAGACTAGAAAGGTTCCCATCCATTCCATCAATAATAACATAGATGAATTGTAAGACCCATCAGATTGTTGTGTTGTTGATAAATAAATAGAATAAATTACATTTTTAAGTTTTTGTTGTTTTAAATTAAATAATTACAATACATAAACTTTAAATACATAAGTCTTATTTTAATTTGATTATTTCATTTAAAGTAGTAGTTAAAATTAACGATTTTGTGGTAATTGTCAATCCCCTGACCTGTACATATAGAAAAATTAGCTATGATCTAAAAAAAAAAAAAAAAAATCAAATTAAAATTAGACTTAAAATGTAAGCGATCAAATTGTTCAATTTAAAATAACAGAGATCCAAGTAAAATTTGAGTCAAATTATAAGTCTGAAAATTATAATTTACCCAATAAAATTTGATAATATATTTATATATATTAGGGAGAATTATAAAGACATCCCTCTCCAACTTTGTGTAGTAGGAGAGGTTCAAGATTTTATTTTTTATTTTTTATTAGCTAAGGTCTCTCAACATTTTCAGCAAAAAAATTCGACTTAGAGAAATTTTGCCTGACTTAGAGAAATTTCATCTGACTCAGAAAATTTTTGAAATTTCTCTAGTATGATCATTGAGAAATTTCAAAAATTCTCTATGAAATCAAAGAAATTTTTCTGTGAAAATTAAAATTTCTCTAAGTCGAGGCAAAATTTGTCTGAGTCAAATTTTCTCTACAGAAATGTTAAGGGATCTTAATTATTACGAAAATATTATGTCACTTATCTTATAAAATCTTAATATCATAGACTTTAAAAATAATTCCTCTATATTTTATTGTATTATTATTTATAGTACCAATATTATGATAACAATTTTTTGACATATTTTGTTTACTATTCCATGTATTAATATTATATTACTAAGTGACAAACATAAATGATATAACTCATTAGGTTATGCTATAAATTATTTTTTAATCATAATTAAAAAAATAATTAGTCATAATAACATACAATATAAGATATAATAAAAGATTTTTTTTCGATCATAATCAAAATAATAATCATAATTAATATCACAATCAACTATAATTAATCCCACAATAAATTATAACCAAACCCTGCAAATGTCTCAACCAACTGAACATATACACAACTTTTGTGCAGTATAGAATTACAAGTTATGGCAAACAGCACATGTCATCGTAACACTACAATAAGTTTTGTTTGGTTTTAGAATTTTGGTTAAAAAAGTATTAAAAAAAACAAAATTAATTACATAAATCAATAAGACAAAATATTACATCTAAAGTATAATTATTACACTTTTTCTCTCACAAAAGTCAAAAAAATCAAAAAAATAAACCAAACGAGATTAAAAAAATCGGACTAAAAAAGTCTCAACACAAAAAAGCCAGCTAAAAAACCAAGGTCAAACGAAGACTAAATAATTTTGTAACCCCTCAATTATCAAAAATTATGTTGACACTTCTTGTCAGAAGTTTATGAATTGTTTGGAATGTGCTATATAAGTGCATTTTTTAACTTTTTTGTTAAAAAAATAAAGAAAAAAAAGATGTATATTTGGGATAATTTTTTGACTTTTTATGAAAAGATGTGTAATAAAATATTGAAGTAAAATCAAAATGACAATTTTATCCATTTGATTTTTTTCACTTTTAACTTTTTGACTTTTTGAGTAGTTGAATTCAAATGGCAAAAAATTTGCCCTAGTGGCTTCCCCCACAAGCTACCCTGGAATAGTATAGATTTTTTAATATTTTTAGTAACTGTTTCACTTTTTGACTTTTTTAATTTATCCCAAACAAGGCCTTAGTGCAATGGTGAAATACCAATAAGGTCCTCATTTGAGATTCTAATTTTCATTATGTCAAAAGAATAGAGAAGGGCAAACAAATCTAATTTTAATTCTAGAAATACAAACAAACCTACTGAAAAATACAAAAGATTTTTCCAATAGCAATTCTTCAATAATAAAAGAAACCTCTTCAACGAAAACCACCACCCAAAAAGCTATCCAAAGCAAAACCCTTAAAACTTTTAAATTCCTACGCACCAATATTGTTAATATTATAACCATAGAGGAAAAGCAAAAGATAGAGATAGAGAGGGGGCGAAGGGAAGGAACCCAAATCTAGCGATTCCTCATCACACTAGCCACTTTCGTCTAAACTATATCAAACGATCCATCGATGGCAGATTGCTCTCTCTCTCTCTATATATATATATATATATATGTGTGTGTGTGTGTAACACCCCGAAATAAACATAATATATCCATCTCATAATAACCAATAAATAGCAACATAAATGAATTGATAAGCTTTTATTAATCAGAGTTTAATATACAGAAGGTAACACATGCGATATACATTCATAAACAGTACATCCTGAATCTACAGCATGTGTTACAAGATTGTGAAAAGAAATGAAAGCTAAACAAATATTCATATGCCATAAAGGCTTAAATCTTTTTAAGTCAAGGTTTGGATACATCAAAAATGAGTCTTAATAAGCTTAATACAGATAAAGCCCTAAGCTTGTACAAAATTAAATACAAAATAACAACACTGCGCCTTCAGCTCCACAGTCCTCACAAGCTAAGTCTTTGGTGGAGGCATATAACCAGCACCTAAAAATGATTTTTCCAAGATAGGGTGAGTCAAAACCCAATAGAAACACTACACACAATGTATAAATCTTAATAAAGTCATAAGATTTTATGCATATGCAATGCCAGTACCAAAATATTTATAACATTTTTCAAAAGTCATGCTATGCCAGGTTTATATCACAATTCTCAAAACCATGCCCCTTACAATAGAAAGCAGGAGGAGATCTCAAACCAGCACAACCTTTCACGGATATTTCGTCTGCAGGAAACCGTCAAATGGCACTCATGTAAACATAGCCTATACAAGCACTACTATTCCATTTTACGGATATTTTGTTCGCGAGAACCAGCACCCATGTATACGAGTGTTTTTCAGGACTTTCACCCTAGACATACAAACCAACTTGATTTGGTGATACACACCTTTTTCCCACGTTCACTCGTTTTTCTCAAAATCATATACATTTTCAATGTATTAAATGAGCAACAATGTTCAATGCACATGGATGACAAATTAGTTTTAATTCACCTAATTCTCATGCAATTTTTACAACATTCATAGCTATCCTCCACCGATAGCTCAAAACAGATATCTCTAAATAGATAAATAAATTTCATTAATGATACATTTTCCCAAAATCTCAAGTTGGGTGTGATAGTACATATCCAACTCTGTCATCATCATCAACAACTTCAATTTCATAATTCTCAACATTAATTTCATTTTCTCTTTACAATCTCAAACATTCACATGTTAAGGCAAAATCCCTTTCTCTTTGAA